TGTGATATCAGTAACAATATCGTTGCTTTTTTGATAACGATACAGAAAAATCGATAACTATACCGAACAACTTTAAAAGATAATTTTTTGATACTAAGCACTTTATGAAAACTTCGATATAATTTTAATATCATTGATATCCTTGTTATTTGTAGTCTGATTTTTATTGATATATGTAAAAAATATTTATCATTATAGTTATATTATACAATAACGATACTTCAAAAATTAATAAAAGGGTTTTCGTTTCTGAGCGATAACCATTATAGAAATAATTTGGCTATGTTTTTCGATATATTTATCGAGATTGTTTAATTTATATAACTGGTGAATTTTAATGTGTACTGACATTATTACAATTCGTTACGGTTTTTTGTTGTTAGGAGATGTGTTTTTAATATTTTGTATGTATAGTTATTTACCGAACAAGCATAAGTTTATTTGTCAATGTATTGGTTGACACTTTTTGCGATATAAATATTTAATCGCGGAATCTTGTATACATATTTGTCGACCAAGTGGTTATCGATTTTAATATCGATGTTGTTTGCATTCGGTTTTTAAAAAATATTAATATAGAATATTTATCGATATAAATTTATCAATATGTAAACGGAAATTTTTATACATATTTATCTGCACTCTGAAAAAATATATTATAACAGCATTTTTACGATAAATATTTAATTTATCATATTGGAGACAATATACATATCAACGTAGTGATATCGATAAAAGTTTCGATACTTGTATAACAAAGATAACGAAACAACGGCTACAAAAATTGTACAGGTTACCAGATTATGGTTACAATATAGGTGTAGTCTATACTTGTTTTTGAGAAAAGTCGAAGTAGTTATATCGATAAGGATTTCGATAATTTTTTGTTAAAGATTATGAAAATTTATTAAGCGTTATTTAATCATAGAAAAATTTATAAATATGCTTACCAATAATTTGTCGATGAAAATAAATATCGATGATATCGATATGTTTTTTCTATCTATTTATCGAAATTTTCGCTACAATTAATTACTGTGTTACTTGTATCCTGATTCTAAATCGTATCCGGTGTGAACTTGCTTTCTTCCTAAATAAACATTTGTGTAAGAAATTTCTTGCTTTTTACATTTTATGTTCTCCTAATCCTTTCAGGCCACCCTTTTTTCCTTCCAACGAAATTACGTTTGTGTGTATTTATGTTTCACAAATCGCCAGTCAACACAAAGACCACGTGTGCCCACAAACTAAACAAACAAAAAAGTCAAACAAGTAAACAAGCGTGTAGCACGTGCTTCCTTCAACACATCCTGTAAACATGCGCGCTTCAACGCTAAATGCTCTCGCCAATTACCCGCACTCACACACATCCTTTGTGCATCCACTTGCTCCCACAATCATTTTACTACTCACTAGGAACATACATATGCATGTAGAAACTCATACATTCACCTAACCTCCCGCCAGCATGCGGTATTTTTGCTCCTCTGCATTTTCATTCCGACAAAATTCAATTTTTATTTATTACCTACCCAACCGACCGGGCCAAAGGACGACCGAACGACCGACTGCTGGCTGAGCAGGACTGGTGCAGCAGGTTGAGCGCCCGAATCAGTTGTAGTGCGGTGTTGTTGGCTAGCAATGACAGCGTCCAAGTCCACTTGGCGAAAAAATGTGTAGCACTCGACTAGGAGGACAATGTGATTAGAGTCGTTGGAGTAAAATTTCAATTGGATCGAGTGAGTATAAATAAGAAACAAGTGTATGTAAGATGCGGCATTTGCTAGCCGGCGAAAGATAAACACCAAGTTGCGAAACATCCGCAAGATGCCAAGAATAATAAGAAATGTAACATAACGGTGGGGTAATGCATAATACTTAGTAAGGAGTCCATTGATGAAAGTATGAGCGCTGACTGATGTCTGAGTATGGCAAAAAGTTGGGGAGACTTTGTCAATGCGTAGGCATCAGCGATATGAGTAAATAGTAAATACAGCAATACATACATACATACATACATACAGACGTATATTTGTTGTCATTGTTGTTCATTGTTTTATAAAATAAATGCATTAGATAAGGCAGCTTTGGCAAGCGGATCACGTAGATCTGTTTAGGTGAGTTGTGGGCAGGTAGGCCGATAGTGTGGTTCAAAAAAAGGTATTAGAAAATAAAAAAACTAAAAAATCGTATTAATTTAATAGTGGCCATTGGGAAGACAAATGAAGAAGCAGGGAATAGGGATATGTCTATTTCTTTTTATTCATCGCTGTAACGACAATAATACTTAAGTATGTTTGTATTATTAGGGCGGTTCAATTTGTTGTAAGATTTTTCCCACTATGCGCGTAAGGTATAGGACATTCTAAGAGAATTTTCAGAAGAAACCACGGATTTAAAATTAATTTCGAGCTTGCCAAATTGCGAAAGTAAGTTTTTTCCCTTAGTAACGTTTTATTTTATCGGGTTTCTTCGGAAAATTTGTTTAGAATTTTACGTAAAATACTCCTATCCACATAATCAAACTAAATTTGCCCACCCTAATGTACACACCTACGTAAGTACGTAGCCCAAAATTATAAACTTATCGCCGCTGGCGTTATTGATTTTAAATCTAAAATATATCGCTCAAATAATTCTGTCAGTGTGGGATTTGCTTTTTACAACTCAATTTGTAATACTGAAGCGAATACACTGTAAAAAATGTATGCATGTATGTTGGTTTTTGTACTTATGACTATAAATTCTTGGAAGCATTTAAGCTACTTTTCAATGGCAAATTGTTATAAAAATTTTATTTTACATAACCAGAAAAATTACATGAATTAATGCGGAAACCAGATTACAAAAGATTAAGATGCCTCGATTTACTATTTCAAATAACTAAGTTAATTTTGACTTTTAAAACAGATAGCAACCATCTTCCAAAGTATTTTGTAGAAAAGTCATTCCTTAACATCTTTCAATTAACCTTCACTAAATTAAACTGGAACTTTGAAACTGGTGGCAACCTTGTTCTAAAACGGTTTTATAAACAATGTTTACTTAAATCTCTCTCTTCGAAAGTACTTTAAAAAATTATTTTTAAACCTCCAGCAATTGATATCCATGTTTAAATATTTGACTTAACTTGTTAATTACACTTATTAACAATTTTGAAACAAGTGGCAACTCTCTTCAAAATTATTTAAAAAAAAAATAATCTTAAACCTCTAGCATTTTATATCCATATTAAAATATTTAATTTAAATTGTTAAATAAGGGGCATCCTGCCTCAAAAATATTTTCGAAATAAAACTTTTTAAACCTCTATCGTTTGATACCCTCATTTAAATATGTAAATTGAAATTATCAATGAAATTGATTTTAAATTCGTGAAGAGGTGGCAACTCATTCAAAGTATTTTCTAAATAAAACCGTTTAAACTTTTATCGTATATACATAACCATATAAAAACATTTCACTTAACCTGTTAACTAAAATTATCCAAAATTTCTAAACAGGTGGCATCCTTTTTTGAAAATATTTTCTAATCTAAGCTTTTTAAAACTCTAGCGTTTGATACCCATATTAAAATATTAAACTTAACTTGTTAAATGAAATGATTCAAAAGCTCTTTACTGGTGTCATCCCTGTTCAAAAATACTTTCGAAATAAAGCTTTTTATACCCCCTATCGTTCTGATACCTATACTAAAATATTTCACTAATTATGTAAATTGATGATAAGTTTGTAAACAGGTGACAACTCTCTGAAAATTTTCAAAATAAAACTTTTTTGATTTAAATTTTCTCGACAAAAAATAACGGTTAATTTTGGATTTTTATTTCTCTATAATTTTTACCGTTATTTTTTATCTCTATTTTTTCGATCATATTATCTATAACTGTTATTTGCAGATTAAATATTTAGATCATAGCCAATTTAAAGCAGTCAAAGAAATTTTGTTATCAGTTTTCTTGATTGGGAATATGAAAATAAAAAAATACCGATTTTATATTTCATATTGTATAAATCTGGGTATTAAATGGTTATTTTTGTTACCTAAATTTAACTCTTTAATTTAATTGATTTTGAATTACGAGACTGGTGGCAACCCTTTTGAAAAATATTTTCGAAATAAAGATTTCTTAAACTTCTCTCGAATGTAACTTTATACCACTCTCATATTCGGATGTTCGTGGTTCCGACAGGATAGGAGTGTGATGTAATGTGGAACGATTTGCCGTCATCCCTTGTCAAATTTGGTTTGGAGACAAACCGGTTTCGGCGTTGTGCCATCTTCAGTGTCATTTTTCGTTCTCTTGAATAGCAAACAATTTTCGCAAGTGATTTTACCGTGTACTTATTTCAAATATTCTTGTCGGGGAAACTTGAAGTGAGTGTCGCCCACAAAAAGAGAGAGAGAGCCACTAAATTGCATGCACAATATGAAAATTTCGCGGAGAATGAGACGTGAGAAAGAGATGCGTTGGGTTAACTACAAACCAATTTGCGTCTATTTTTTGGCCACATCCGACGATGCACCAACCGAACAACAAACACAACTAGTATAACAACAACCACAGTGTTGGCGCTGGTACGATGGCGCTGCGCGATGATGACGCGCCAACAACGACTATGGCAACGATTTGAACGACTTGGCCGACTACGAAAGGCTATTGCGACTGCGACATAGAGACAGCGACCGCTTTGCTGTTTGTCGTTTGGCAGGCCAAACCGAAACAAACCGAGCCATGGCACGGCAGTCGTCAGTCAGTTGGCCAACAAAGTAGCAGCAGCCAACAACGTGTGGTGTGCTAGCTGGCACCAAAAGTGGCGGTGTGCCCTTCGGGCGATTTTCTTGGATCGCAATGCATCCAAGAAAATCGCCAACACGGCAGCCAGAAAAATACGGGCAGCAAAATCAGCAGCAGCCAAAACGACAGCAGCAAATCAACACAGGAAAAAGCCAAGAAAAAAATACATAAATATATTTCGTCTTCATTGTTGGCGATCCGTTTTTTTGTTTTTTTTCCAACACACAAACGCTGGCCAAGAGCAACTAAAGTGATGTGATGTTTGTAGTAAATGGGTAGTCCAAGAATTAAGACAAACACACAAAACAAAGATTGGCTGGATGAAGTGCGGAAGGTGTGCGTGTGTTTGTGTTATTGGCGCTGACGATTGCCAACAACTCAAAAAGTCATCAACAATTGTCATGAAATGGTAAAGAATATGATGCCAATAGCCAACATACAGGCACGCCCCTGAAACGTGCAGACGATTAGCCAACGCGAGTGATGGCCAAGTGAACAATGGCCAAGAAAGAACATCAACTGACAGACTGGAGTTGAACACAGCAACAAGAATAACAGCGGGCTGTGAAGCGGGATTTGCAAAGTGCCAACCGGAAATAACCGGAAATCAGATTGACCGGCATTGATAGTTGCCCAATCAGCGGTGGCTGAGCTGGTGCCTACGTACAACCAACTACCAACAACAACTGGGTAAAGCAGTAATTAAGCAAAAAATAAAAAATACGTCCGTCTCAATCATGCAGCTGCCAACAGCGAGCGTCGCGCACCAACAGACGCACGCGTTGGTCGAACGCACGCACCAGACGAAATCACCGAAGATGTGGTCGATTGTCAACAATGCAACGCTTCAAACTAACTACAAATAGTGCGGGAGTTAACTCCAAGCTTCAGAGCACTTGTAGCCAAAGTCAACAAGAATCAGCTGCAAGCCTGACCCACCAAAAAAAAAAGTGGAAATAACACCGTTAGGCAGGAGGAGCAGCATGGCAAGCTGGCTGTTGCCCAAGAAAGCCATTGTTTTAAATCTTTTTGGCAACAGGCAACGCCAAAAATGATGAAGTCGCCCGGCCGTGCTTACAACAAACAAATGTCAACACCGTGTCAAGCAAGCCAAAACGTGTGTGCGGCTCCAACATACTTCAGCCAAGCATGGCCAATTGGCCAGAAAGTGAAGCAAGCTGGCTGGGCCGTTGGTAGCGCACGCATAACGCAGATGAACGCGCTAAAGGATGCACACGCGCGGCCGAGTAGTGAAACTAAAGTGCGACTAAACGCAAAAAAAAAAATACTTAATCGCAGTTATATATAAAAATACATACATACTATATTCATAATAAATATTAAATAATAAACCTAAAATATAAGACAGTTTCACGCGTAAACCATCGTTGAGCTAAAGCTTAAAAAAAAAAATGCAATAGCATCCAGCAAGGTGCTCAATCATCCGCGTGCTTAATTCATAACCAACAACAAATATAAGCAAAAGTAATAATGAATCAACTTAAAAAGACAAGTAATCGGTTTGTGTAGTGACACTAGAGCAAACACATACATATTTATTCATAAATATGCAAATATGTAACCGTAAACAAACTAAGCTAAATTCGTGCAATAATAGTTTCAAGTAGAAACTACATTCTAACTAAATATATAAATATGGCAACCTACTATTGCGGAAGTTCATTCAGCAAACCACATGAAAATCCATAAATACGTAAAGGAACATAATCAGTAGTAAGATACGTACTTATATATAAATATACTTACTTAATCGCAACGAACATAATGCAAAATCGGTGAATTACCACACGAAATCAGTTGTCAACGATTTTATTCGGGTTATCGGAATAAAGCTGTCGATTTACATCTGTTCCAAATTCACCTACAAGGAAGAGGATGAAATTTTCTTGAAGTGATTTAAATATTGAAAATCTGGTGAGTTCATAAATATATCGAACTTTTAATAATATAGAGCATTCATTCGAAATTTACGTTTTTGGAGATTTCATCAGCTGACACCTAAGGCAATATATGTATATTAGAGGGCTGCATGAATTCATTCAAAACGGCTTATGAATTATTCAATATACAAAACGAATGAATGAATTTGGCTTCAAATTTTTTTGAATTTCAGTGAATACCTCTTCTGATATATGTATGTGTCGACATTACAATATTCAAACAAAGTGAAAATAAATTGAATTGAAATAAATGAAAATTTTTTGCATGATACAAAAAAAAACTTAGTTTCAATAAGCAACTTTTGACGGATAATAAAATTTTTTGAAGTTTCATAAATTGTGAGTATTATCAACAGCCTTGCCACTTTGATAATATAAAGACAATAAATCGGAGAATTTTCTTTCGCATATTTATACCAATGTAATAATATTTCAAATCAAAAACCATTATCAGTGCTTGGTATTTTTTTACCTACATACGTAGCTCGCACTATTTTTGTTAAAGCTATATAAAATATAAACTATTAAAGAAGACTTCATTGTAATTGTTTTTTTTTTTATTTTATAATAAAAACCACGCGCGCATTATTTTGTTATTTTTTCGTTTTCTTATTTTGAATGCAATCTTGCGATTTAAAAATCGAGTTCTAAAGAATGTTCTTCCCAAATAAAACCTTTTTATATTTTGGCTCAAATTTAATTTTAAGTTTCTCATCAGATTTTGAAAAAATTAGGCTTTGTGGTTACCGTATCGCCATTGACTTTCACAAATTTTTAAATTAAAATGCAAAACCGCGTATGTGAAGTTGCATAAATTATTTTCTAGAGAGTAGAAACGCTCGTATTTAAAAATGGTTATTTTTTTACAAAGAAATCGCATTCCAGGACGAATGAATAAGGCTTGAGCCAAAAGCTTGTGTGCGCAAATCCAATTTTTGGCAAAAAATGTCAGTTACGCGGTTTTGCACAACGACGATACGCGGTTTTGTACTTTAAACGACAATACGTAAGGAATTTTATTAAAAGTCAAATGGTTAACAACAACAACGAATGTCATCAAATGAAACTAGCTTCTTTTTTGTATCATGATTTTTTGTATGAATATCCAAAAATATTTTTTCTTTGTACATATGTACAAATGTGTATGTATGTATGTATTGCTGCGCCCCGCAAACATATTCTGAGCGTTCAGAATATGTGAGTCCGAAAGGAATCCTAGGAAGTTAAGAAATATGACTTTCAAAAACAAAAAATTTTTTACTCTTATATGAATCTTTTAGGATTCATATGTGATCCAAGTGGCCCAAAATAAGTAAAGTCGGAATTTTAATAATTAATCGGAATTGTTCTATACCGAAAAAATGTACCCCTGCTTTTTATTTTGAAATCAAAAAATATTTAGAGGTCGCTCAAAGCGCTCAAAGTTTTCAAAGCATTTTATATGGGAAAAATCAATTTTTCGTATAAATGGTATAGAATTCTTGAAAATCAATATTTTTCGATCTCTTCAGGAGACTTTAATTTTTGAATATTAACTATTTTTATGGGTCCCCTAATGGCCCATAAAAAATAGCTAGTATTAAAAAATGGTAAAACAAACAATTGGGTAGATATTAGTTCTTGAAGTTTCCTAAAGAGAAACAGAGTTTTCCGATCGAAAAATATTTATTTTTAAGACTTCTATACCATTTCGAAAAGTTGTTTTTTTCCCATATAAAATACGTGCAAAACTTTGAGCGCTTTGAGCGACATCTAAATATTTTTAGATTTCGAAATAAAAAACAGGGGTATATTTATTCAATTTAGAACAATCCTAGGGGGTGAGTATTAAAATTCCGAAGGGTATCTGGCAAGATGTGAAATTGTTTTCTAATGCTGGCAGCACACGTGGCTGTCCGTTAAAGCAACCAAGTTATGTTGCATTGACTGTTTCTTCGTGTGTAGTCTAGTTTCTCAANTTTTAAAAAAAAAAAAAAAAAAAAAAAAAATCGTGTTGCCGCAACCGTCGCTTGATATCTTTTGTTGGTTGCCAAAGCGTTTGCCTCATGAGTAGTCAGGACAATGTTCAGATTGAGTCAAATTTCTTTCAATCGTTCAAACTAATTAGATTTCGAATACTAATTTTGTTTAAAAATCTGAAATCTCTGAAAATATTTCGTTACTTATCTCTTACAGCCGCGTTCAGAAACATTCATTAAATCAGCTCTAATGAGCACTTTATTAATGATCGTTAAATCTTTTAATTAAAGCTAAAAGGTTTTTTGTGGCACCAGTCACTTTTTTTTATTTTAAATTGGAAACATATATTAACATACGTATGTATATAATTCTATGCGCGCTGCCTCAATAAACGCAATGCTGAGTGAGAAGAGTACTGACGTTCCATTCGAGAGAGGCAGCGGTTTCAATTAAATTATTTATCTAGTTTTTTCTTTTTCCAATTTAAATGTCTTTTAATGTGTAAAAATAAAACATTTTTATAATTTCATTTAATTTTTAGAAACTTATCTAATTTTTTCTTTTTTAATTAAAGTTTCTATTTTCTATTTTTTTTTTTAATTTAATTTAATTTTTAGAAACTTATTGCTAAAAGACACTAAACGTCGCTAACTCACCACAGTCTTTCGAAAGATAAAAGTCATTTATGGCAACTATCTTAAAAACTCTTTTCTGTCTTTTGAAAGACTAAATAAAAGATCTGCTAACGAGGTGGTCTTTTAGCAATAAGTTCTCACAAATTTAACGAAATTAAAACAAGTAAAAAAGTCTAAGTTCGGGCGGAGCCGAACATTAAATATCCGGCGCAAGCATTCAAAATAGTTTTTTCACCTTTCTTTACGTGGTAAGTAGGGGTGGTTTTACGTCTATTTCAAACATATTCGATAGAAGGTTCAGTTAGATATAATGAGGTAAACTTATATGGATATATGAGGGCGGCAACACGCCCATTTTCCGAAATTCCATAATAATGTTACTTCCTTTCAAGGGATTGCTGTTAGTATCAATTTTGGTTAAAATTAGCGTCATTAAATTTCGAAATATCGAAGTTTCAAACATCTCTGAAATTTACCGTTATAGAGAAGTTGGCGTAATTTTAGTCAGTTTTCAATAATTTTCAACATTTTGCCTTTATGTGGCAAATACAGTAATCATACCGAGTTTGGTACAAAATAAATCGAACGGTTGCCGAAATACACATGACACACATGTGGTCATAAGTGGGCGGGGTCACGCCCATTTTCCAAAATTTTATTATAAGCGTATTTTTTTGTTAAAGAATTAATGCAAGCATAAATTTTTTTCATTCTGATCTCAAATCGTTTTGCCTATTAAAAACGACCGTTATGTGAACAAAGGTACACAAGTGCGCTCGAGTATAAAAAATTATTCAAATTAATTTCATTGGAAAACTCTAATATCGAAATTGATCAGCGTTGTGCGATTAAACGCTTGATTAAAATGGCTATGGATGATTTGCCTTCTGACGACCACAAAACCATAATCGGAGCAGATACATAAATGTGCCAATGGAAGTCGTTAAATGAAAAGTTGGTGAAAATGTTGTAGCAAAATGTTCCAAAATAAAAACTAATTTTTGGCGAGACTGAGGTCGCCTTGTACGCTAGTCATCTTCTTTATTAAAAACCAAATGTTACTTATGGTTGTTTATCCATATACAAATATTTATAGTTGCACGTACTGAGTTTACCTACATACTATACGTACATACATATATACATACACTTGTTTGGATATGTATGTATATAAATATTTGTGTATGCATGCACATCTAAGCCTAAAAGAGCGACAATTCGGCGCCATATAAATATTTACTTCGCCATATGACGCCTTGGCAATACGCAATGCATTTGCAACTGTAATAAATTTATTTGATGCCATAAAGAGGAGAAAGGAAATTTTCAACTTAAGATTTGAAATTTTAAGCGAACAACAATGTCTGTTATTAAAGAGAAATTTAAAGTCTAGATGACGAAAATTAAAAAAAAAAAAATGAGGAGCATTGCGGGTTTAACGGACAAAAATGGAACATATTTGGTATGGAAGTGGTGATTTGTTTTTTTTTTTTTGTTTTTGATTTCGGCAAACAGTTAGCTATATGCCTATTTGGTTTCCCAACAACTGTTGCTGTGCTCAACTCGCATGAAAACAAAAAAATTTCACAAAATAAATTAAAACAACTTACTCTTATGTACATACATATGCCTACACTTTCTCGGCGTAAATCCAAATTATGCGGAGGAGTGCATGTGTGTGCTCGTATTTTTACTACTATATGTACATATTTATGTAAGCACCAGCAAGAGAAAGCGAAAAAGTGACATTAAATGAAAATTTATTATTACAACTTATATTGTGTTGTTTTACCACTAAAATATTTTATGTGCGCATTAAACGGGGCGTATGAGTGATATGAAATGAGAAATGTTACTCATACGCCAACGTAGCCTTTGCAGTGAGTCTTTGGATGTGTCTGTATGTAGGCAATAATCGTTCGTCACGCTTAAATATACTTACATAAATATGCAAGAAGACAAAATTTATTTAACTAACGAGATGTTTATATGGCTTAGAGAGTTTTATTTGAGACTAGCAAATACCCGGCGTGTTTCACTGCGTCTTGAAAGTATTTTTGTGCTGCTTGATACCCGTATTGTAATATTTCAATTATTTTACCAAATTAATTTAATAAAAAATCCTCAAAAATATTTTCGGCAGTAATCATTCATTAACCTCTTCAGTTTGATATCCATATTGCAATATTAATTTTTTCTTATCAGTTCAATTAAACTCAAATTTTCAAACAGGTGGCCACTCTCAACAAAAATATTTTCGGCTGTAAGCTTTCTTAGATTTCTTTCTTTTGACAGCCATATTGCAATATTTACTTTTTCTTATAAATTTACTTAAACTGCAATTTTTAAACAGATGAAACAGAGAAATTAAAAATTTTTA